GGGGGGGGGGGGCACTAGCCTGTCATCCCCGTGTAACTCTGCGTGCCACATGCTACGCACTTAAGACATTTGCACGGATCATACCCTGAGCTGTGAAATAAGTCTCAATAATTTCAAAAGCATTCAAGATATGTAAAGTATGATTTCTGACAACAATGGAATTAAATTAGAAATTGATAACAGATCTCTGGAAAATCTCCAAATAGCTGGAAACTAAATAACACTTGTAAATAACCCATAAGTCAAAGAAAAAATATTTTAAAAAATTTAAAAGAATTTTGAACTAAGTGAAAAATAAAAACACAGCATATCAAAACTTGAGAGGTTCCACAAAGGTAGTAAAAGGAAATTTACAGCGCTACATACCTATATGAGGAAAGAAAAACGGTTTTGAAACAATGATCTTAGCTTCCAACTAGAGACCGCTAAAATGGAGAGTAAAGCAAAGCTAAAGTGAGCAGAATAAAGAAAATAATAAGGATTAGAGCAGAAATCAATTGGATAGGAAATATTGCCGAGAAAAATCAATAAAACCAAAAGCTGGTTCACTCAGAAGATCAATAAAATTGATAAATCAGTAGAAAGACTGATCAGAAAAACAGAGAAGAAACAAATGACTAATATCGGTAGTGAGAGAAGTAACATCACTGAAGAGTCTATGGTTATTAAGAAGAGAAGGGACTATTATGTCAACAAATTTGACAACTTAGATAAAACAGACAAATGTCACATAAAACAAAAACTAGCAAAGCTCATTCAGGAAGAAACAGATGATCTCAATAGCCCTATATCTATTCAACAAATTGAATTTGCAATTAAACACCCTCTCACAAAGAAAACTAAAAACATAGATGTTTTCACTGGCAAATTCTATGAAACATTTAAAGAAAAACTCATACCAATTCTAACTAACTTTTCTAGAAAACTGAAGAAGAGGGAATGACTTCCAAACAACTCCATGAGGTCAGCATTATCTTGAAACCATAAATCAGACAAAGACATAAGAAAACTCGGACCAATAATAATACTCAATATCCTAAAAGAAAGAAGTGAGAGAAAAATGAAAAGAGGAACAAAGAACAGGTAGAACAAGTAGAAAACAAAAATATAGAAGATTTAAACCTAGCTATATAAGTCATCACATCAAATCTAATGGTCTAAACACTTGAATCAATGTCCCTCATAAACATAGAAGCAAAATTTCTCACGGATACTTTAGCAGATCAAATCCAACATTATATAAAGGATACTATATCATGACCAGATAGATGTATCCCAGGAATACAGGTTGATTTAACAAGTCAAGTTATAGAGAAATACAGAGAATATTCATGCTGAATGATGGAAAAGAGCCATTTAAGTACCTGATTTGAAACTAGAGAACGGCTTGAACTTTGGAACTTTTGCTGATTTTCACCGGCCACACTTCCTGATTTTATGGGCAGTGAATTAAACCACATTATCCCAAGATAAGCGCTGCCCAATGTCCTCTGTGGAGAGGAATTCTGAAGGTATATCTGGGCTCAGAGGGAAAAAGCACGAAATCTACCAGCAATTTCTAAGAGACCGAGAGAGGAAGGATCAGGAGCAGCTGCAGAGGGACAAGGCATGCCAAGTATAATAGATGCTCTAAGGCTGTATACAAGTGGCATATCTTTCTGAGGGAACTGCCTTGTTCATATTTTGCATAATGACTTTCAAGAAGATATGGGGGACAAGCTAATGAAGCTCATGCATGACACAAAACTGGGAGAGGAAAACAGTATTTCAGATGTCAGAGTCTAAATTAAATTATTTTAACAAACTGAAAGGCAGGGCCCAAATAAACAAAACAAAGAGTGAAAGGCAATTCCTATAACAAAGGTTAAAATGATAATAGAGAAAGGGTATAAGAATGTGGAGAGCTCTTTTTATTTTTTGTTTTTTAATTTTTAATTATATCTTTATTAATTTCAGAGAGAGGAAGGGAGAGGGAGAGAGAGAGAAACATCAATGATGAGAGAGCCATTGATCAGCTGCCTCCGGCACGCCCCCCACTGGGGATCAAGCCCGAAACCAGGGCATGTGCCCTGACCGGGAATCGAACTGTGATCTCCTGGATCCTAGATCGATGCTCAACCACTGAGCCATGCGCAGCCAGGCGAGAGCTCTGTCTTGAAGGCAGTTCAGATGAAAAATACTTAGGCTTTTATTAATCCTATGGGGCAGCAAGAAGACTTACTGCATTAATGAAAGGAAATCATGAAATAAAGGACTTACAAGTCCCATCAAACTCCCTTCTTACTCTAGTGCTATCCAATCACCTTCTGTGATAATGAAAATGTTTTAAATCCAATATGGTAGCCACAAGCCTCTTGTGGCTATCTATTGAGTACTTGAAATTAGATAGTGCAACTAAGGAATTAGATTTTTAATTATATTTAATCTTAATTAACTTACATTTAAATAGCCACTGTGGTTAGTGGCTACATGCTAAGACAACATGGCCTTAGACAAATCACCTTCATTTCTGGGCCCAGGGCATCTAGTAGTGCCGGACCACAGGTGTGAATCAGGATGTGAGAAGGAACCTACAAAGCTATTTAGCCTAGAAAAGATTATTTGGGGATCTGGGGAGAGTGGTCTCTGTCTTCAAATATCCTAAAGTATCTGTTGTCTCCTAAAGAAGAGGGCCAGACTTCTCTGGTGGCCCCCGAGGCCAGGACCAAGGCAAGTGGCCTGAAAACCACAGGAGGGAGGTTTCTTTCTTATACATGAATGAATTTGTGGCACTTTCTGATAGTGAAAAATTGCCTCTTGGGTCCTCAGCTTCCTCATCTATAAAATGAGGGCAGTCATCTAAATTATCTATAAAACTCCTTTCAGCTCTAAAACCTGTGGTTTTACATACTAAAGTATAGTATTTTAAAACATTTTTACTTAATTGACATGAACATAGAACAGGAGCATCTTCTTATAGTAATTTTTGGAATTAATTATGGAAGAAAGTTTTCCTTCCCCATTTGTGTCTGTGATGGTCTTGCCAGGAAACAGATGGCACACTCAAACCGGATAATTAAGGAGAGGTTCATTCATACAGGGAACACGTACAAAGTGAACAGGGTTTAGGTAAACCCCAAAACGACAGTGCTATAGGTCACAATGAGTGATAGTATGGGGCCTGTACCACCCACACAGAACCAACCCCCGGGGACTGTTGGGAGAGCACAACATACCTTGACCTAACTTATCTCCTACCCTCAGTCTCTGCTAGTGCTTTCTGTGGGCCAGACCCAAATTAAACCACGAGAGCAGGGAAGCCTATTGGTAGAGTCCATTCAAGAGTCACAGGATGTGGGGCAAGATGAAGAGGAGCTGAATCTGAATCTGGAGGAGCAAAAAGATATCAGCGCAGGCTACTTTCTTAGCTTGAGCTGCTATAACAAAAATAGCTGTAATGAACTTGGGGGCTTAAACAGCAAACATTTATTTCTCACAGTTTTGGAGACTCAGAAGTCCAAGATCAAGGTGCCAACAAATCTGGTGTCAGGGGAGAGCCCACTTCCTGACTTGAGGACAGCAACCTTCTTGCTATGTCCTCATATGACCAAAAGAGGGTGCTCCTGTCTCTTTCTCCAATAAAACACTAATCCCGATATGGGGGCTCCACCCTCATGACTTCACACTATTCCAGCCTCTGGCCTTTCTGTTTCTCCATCACCACACTTGTACTGAAAAAATGAGACATCATTTCTCAGTACAAGACAAATGCAGTTTGTATTTGGAAAGCATTTCCTTCAAGCAACCCAAGAGGGGGCGCTGACAGTGATTAGGTCTATCTATGCTTAGGGCACAGCAGGAATCCAGGAGGGGAAAGAAAGAAACAGGCTAAGATCCACGGGGAACAATGTCTATTTCCTAATCCGTCTTCTGCCCCAAATAGCTCCACTCTCCTCCCCCAGCCTGTGTTTACATGTCTCCTTTGCATCATTAAGATAATTTAGTTCTCGACAAGTTTTGCCACCTCACAGAGGCCTCCCCTGACCAGTGTAGCTGAACCAACCCCAGACATAACTTACGATCTTATCCTACTAACCACCTCCAGATCATTTCTCAGGGCCTGCAATGATCTTATCTATTCATGTGTTTACATGATTATTGCTTACGTCCCCACACCTTGTCTTGAATATAGACTGCAGGGCAGGGATTGCACGAGTCTGTTCTCTCTAACTAGAATAGTCCTGATGTGAACAGCTACATCGTGTGTGTGAAAAGCACTTATTATTACCAAAGTTGCAAAGGGCCAAAGGGGTGGATGGTTCTCCAAAAAATTCAATCTTATTTCCCATTTGGGGGAGAATGACTCTGAGGTTTTTGTCTTACAATACTTAGGGATATCCTACCTAAACAGTGCAAGATGGATGAGACATCACACAGTTTGTATTATTAGACTGTAGTCTTTTATTAGAACAAGCATTTCTCATAGCTGTAAGCAACGTGCTAGAATTCATCAAGCTAACTCACGTTTTCTCTGCCACAGGAGGGCCAAAGAGCGAGAGAAAGCCCCTTACACATGTGCAGGATCAGAGAGCAAAGCATTTCAGTGAATGATTCATTGAGGCTATAAATTTGGGGGGATTTTAAGGCACTGGAGGGCACAGGGTGTGTGAGGTGGGCAGGGCTTGGATGAAGGATTTCCAGCATGCCCCATCCAGCCCCCCTCTCCTCCTTCCTCCCCTGGCTTCTACGGCAGGCACCCAGGCACGAGAACAGTGAATACAGCATATTCATTATCCTCATTCAGACCCCAGATGATCCACAGAACTTCACAGCTCCACTCCCACCACACCTGATTAGGAAATAAATTACATGTTATCAACTTGCCATGGCGCTGTGTGTAAATTACACCTCAATAAACCAGATTTCCACCAGGGCCTTTGTGCTTCGTGCACTTCAAAAAGCCAGCGACGTGAACCTCAAAAGAACTGCCCAATTTGTTGGAAGCGTTTCTGCTGTGACCTCAAGGGCCCACCACATGGGGAGATATTACTTTTTAATCCCCAGCGGACAGGACACCCCAGTGCCCCCGAGGCCACAGTAGCCATCGGGGTTCTTGCTCAGGTACTGCTGGTGGTAATCCTCTGCATAGTAGAAAGCCTGTCCCTCCCGGATGTCGGTCGTGATCTGGCCATAACCATTCTCTGACAGGACCTGTGGAGAGAAAGGCATGATCAGGACCCGATCCTGGGCAGAGATGGTCCCAAGAAGAAGGGACGGGGACAATGGGCTGGGAGGGAGGTCGACACAAATGGCTAGGGATGTGCAGTTGGTCCCTGCCGGCCTGGGCTTTGCCACTCCCCAGCTGGGTTATTCTGGGCAAGCTATAAGGTCCTTGATTTCCCAGGGGAACAGCAGGGACGAGTGGCTCCCTGGCTGCCCTGGACGAACGCAGTCCCCGAGAGCACTCAGCAGGGCTGCAGTGGGAGGGGACGACAGGGCACCAGCAGGACGGGCAGGGAGGGCTGCAGCACCACCCAGGGCCGCCCCCTCTGCCTCCATCTCAGGGACAGGGCCCCTGCCCACTCACAGGCTGGACAGAGGACCCCCCGCTTGCTCCCTGTGGTTCTAGGGAACAAGGAACCTACCAGGATGCCCTGGGCAGCAGAGGGTCACTGGGGCCTGGGCTTTGTGACTCCAGGCCCAGGAGCCTGGGGAGTGAGGTCAGGGGAGGACATGGCCTGAGGGCCTGCGTGGGCTCATCACTGCCCCCTGTGACCTACTTGAAGGCCTGGTGGCACCTGCTGCCAGGGAAAGAAACAGACACATAAACACAAGTTGGGGGAGGAGAGCTGAGCTATTTGGGGCAGGAGACGGATTAAGAAACAGACATTGTTCCCGGCGGATTTTAGCCTGCTTCCTTTCCCGTTTGGATTTCAGCTGTGCCCTAATTCTTCCCTGCTCCAGGCTGCCTGCAGTATTTGAGCACAAGGCTACAGAGACTCGGCCCCGGCTTCGCTGATTCCATTCTGGCCGGGGTGCAGGTGGGGCCTGGGGCTTGTGTTTCCATAAGGGACCTGACCAGTCTGACTGCCTGTTGGTCCTCACATCTGCAGAGCGCCAGGAATCCCACATTAATATTCAGCATGGTTCACTGCCTCGGTTTTCCCCTGAGAACTTTCACCCTTCTCCTGCACCTCCATTCAGCCCTCTGAGCCCACATGAGGCTGACTGAGGATCCGACAAGCAGGCTGGATGGTGAGGGGCAGGATCCTCGCCAAGGTGGGCGGGTTGCACCCCACCGCTCCGAAGCAGCCAGTTTCCGCACAAGGGTAAGAAATAACAATGAAGAGCCATTCCAATTTCAGTTTTGACACTTTTTTGTAACCTAGCAATTATGGAGGGCTCACCATGTGCCAAGCTCTGCACAAAGACTCCACAATGTGAATTTTAGCCTCACAACAGCCATCTGAAGGAAACGCTGCTATTATCACCTATCTTTAAAAGTGTGTCAGATACTATGTCTTGATCATGGGCATTCTCGCCCTGGCACTGCATCGGCAGAAAGCTTGGAAACTGCATTTCCCAGGTTCCGCTGCTGGCAGCACTAAGGTTTAGATGCCACCAGGGGGAGAGGCACAGGTGGGAGCTGGGAGGCCAGGTCCAGGGAGAAGCCACTGCTCTCGGGTGCGGCTGTGAGGACAGGCACAGGTATGTTTAGCGAGCAGACCTGAGACTGCGGCTCCTCCTGAGAACCGTCCACTCTCATGCTGCAGGCGGAGTCATCACAATGGATTCCAGTGATTTCTGTAGCTTCCTGAAGTCCTGAAATCCAGCGGTGCTTTTCCCTGCCCTTCACTCCAACAGCCTTTCTAACGATTCTGGAAGCACCAGATTCCCTTTACAGAATCCACCCTACTTGAAACACCTCACACGTTTTCTGTTTCGGCCCCTGAGCCCCAGCTAACACAGCATTTGGTGTGGGTGCTGTGTTCAGGATGCAGAACCTCCGTGAGAATGAGAGCCTGGGCTCGGTGAACTGCCTGGCTGGGGTCAGTGAGGAGTGACCTCGCCGTGAGGGAAACCGGATCAGCGCCACGTGCACAGTGGAGATGCACACACTTCAGTTATCACTAGTATTTGCCAGTGAAGAAACGGCACTGAAGGGAGGCGTTGGGACACCAGGTGGCTGTGGCAGGGGAGGGTTCTGGTGACAGTGAGCATGAGGGCTGCGGGGGGTCAGGCCAAGGGCCAGTGGGAAGAAAAGGGTACAAAGTCGGGACCTGGCATTCCTGGCCCAAGTTCAGAGAGCCAGGGGGCACTTAGGGCCAATTTAAAATCATCTCCTATTTCTTTTCTTTTTTTTAAGTCCTCACCTGAGGATATATTTTTTCATTGCTTTTCAGAGAGTGGAAGGGAGGGAAGGAGGGGGAGAGAGAAAGAGAGAAATATTGATGTGAGAGAGACACATGGACTGGTTGCCTCTGGCAGTCACCCCAACCAGGGGTGGGGCGTGAACCTGCAACCCAGGTCCATGCCCTTGGCTGAGCATCAAACCCGAGACCCTTAGGTGCAGAGGCCAATGCTCTAACCACTGGGCCACACCAGCCAGGGCAAGAACCTCTCTTATTTCTTGTAGCTGTACCCAAGCACCAAATAAAAGGTTGGCTCCCGAGGGTTCGGGCTTTACAAGTGGAGTTGGAACCCTCACTAGCTCTGCAGCCCAGGAACACCCACGGAGCTCGTCCACTCACTGCTGCAGAAGCGGCCCTGCAGAGATGCTGCCTCGGGACCTGCCTGAGACACGCTGTGAACGCCGCTGAGATCCTCCACCTTTCCTCTGCCTCCATCAGGGCGAGGGCCTGGCTCCCGGGTCTGCCCAGCTCCCCACTCACCCACCTCATGTGGGCTCTGTCCTCTGGGGCCACCTCCTCGCACCCTGGCAGCTGGACTTCTCTTTCACAGACGGCTGCCCTCCCTGTACGAACAAGGATGGCTCCCCAGAAACTCCTCCACCTGAGGCAGTGAGCGGATGCCCTCAAGCTACTGCCAGGCTCCCGCCTCCTCCCCACACCAGCTCTCACTGAACCCCCCAACCATCCCAGAGGGGCAGCTTCCCCTTGAGGGAGCAGTGGGAAGGGAGGCACGAAGGTGGGGCCCAGGCACTGCCAGGCCTCTGCCACAAGAGGGCAGACAGCTCACTTTTATTTGAGAGGAAAACACCAACCACAGTGATGAAAACCCACAGAAGCAGAGCTACGCCTTCCTCCACCTCCCCTTCCACTGGGACGTTCTGGACAGGTCTTGTCAGGTGGCAGACACATGCCAGGGCCACCGGGCCCGCGGTCAACATCGCCCCTCCACACTGGGCAAGCCGGCCTCCAGGCTGAGGCCCTCACTCAGCACAGAGTTGTGGCTCCACAACCAGGGGGCAGGGGGACAAAAATGCACAAAAGAAACTGGATATGAAAGAAGAGGAAGTAGGAAAATGAAAACTCCCATCTAGCCTCTATTTTCCCTTCTTCCCCACAGCCGGGTATCTGCCTTCTTACTTGACCAAAGCAAGTCACTTGCCTCAGCCACCTCTGGGGCATGATGCTCAGACATACCCAGTGGACGCAGTGCCAGGGACGCAGGGCCACTTCCTCAGCCCTTTCTGCTTATTTAGATCTTGTCTGAGACGGTCAGTTTTGCACTGTCCTCCCCTTCCACTGTGTGTGGCCTCTCTTTCTGGTCAAGCCCCAGGGCCCAACCCTGCCCAGCCTGTTCCCCACCTCTCCAGGCTCCAGGGCTGGGTCCAGCCCCACCACACAGCCAGTCCCTCAGGTCCCTTCCCTGCTAGGTCTCTCGGCCAGGACAGCTCCAGAGGAAGAGCTGATCTGGGCCTAACTCCCCAGCCCTCACTCTTTTATCTCCCACTCTTATTGATTCCAGAACAATGACCTAAAGCTTTTTGTTCATGGCATATTTTTTCTTGTTGATTTTTAGAGGGTGTACCACCTGGTTCAGAAATCTCTGGAAGATCACCTCATGGAATTGGTATATGCTTTTCTCAGACTTTTACCTCACTGCTTTCTTAGATGGCCCCAGGAAACCTCCTATGCCTTTATTCTCTTGTCATTTTCTTTCTGGAAGCAGATTTTCTGTCTGTAAAATGGGCACAACACCTAGCCCACTGAACTACTGTGAGAATCTAAGATAAAGCATAAAAAGTGCATAGCACCTGGCATATTTTAACTACACAACAGTACTGGCTCCCTTTCCCATCAACCCCCAGGCTGGAGGAAAGCTTGCCCACCCATTTTGCCCTCCTAAAGTAAGCCTCCATGCACTTTTACAGTGTCAAAGCCAATTTCTGTGGGGCAGGAAAAAGAGGTGGGAGCCAATAAGCTGGGGCAGAGCTCCTAGCCCTCCAACAACTGTTTCTAGCCCCAGCCACTCCTGCCAAACACCACAAATGCCCAAGGAAGTGGCTGGGCCACCTCATTACAGATGCTCTACTAGGAGATGTGGCCTGGGCCCAACCCATCCTTCCAGGTCTGCTGGCAAGAAACTTTCTTCTAATAAAATTAATGAACAATTGACTGTTCTGCTTACTGCAACCTGCTGAAAAGCTTATTATTAGCTTTGCTGAGATTCCCCAAGTGCCCAAATATACTCAGCCTATTGCATGGAAATGATACACTCTTAGGCCTCCCGGAGAAAGCGCAGCCTGGAGGTCGCAGCAGCACAGGTTGTGGCGGAGCATCTATAGGGAAGGTCAGGAGTTATCAAGGTGGCGAGGCCAGTGTTAACCCAAGCCCTTGTGTTTGTCCCAAACTGCAGTGTCTCCAAAGGGCTTCCTCACACACTCCAGTCCATGTGAGGCACTGACTGACAGGAGTGGGAACTGTTATTCTCATTTCTCAGTGGGGAACAGTGAGGCCAGGGCGGGAGGAGGCTTGTGCTAAGTCAGTCTCCAGGAAGCCGCAGAATGACAGCCCCCGTCCTGACTATCTACATCACTACCGTAAGGCCACTGTCTCGGGGGCCGGATAAAGATGCTACTTTCCCTTAGAGAGGACAGTATATTATTTCAAAGTATCGCAGAGAGTTCTAGACATGGATCATCCCACACTTAGATAATACTCTCTCCCACCCTGCTCACATCCCTGGAACCCAAAAGCATGACGTATATTTCTCAGGTCATCTCATCGTTTTTTCAGCTGTCAAAG